CAAATATATAATATCGACAATAAAGCTTAGATAAATTATATTACTTCATGCCTCATATTTCACATAGGGTTATACAGTTTTTATGGGATTTTTTAAGGGGGAAATACATCGAATGACTTCTCCCACCTAGGTGAAGCGGGAGGGAGTGTCAGGTTCTTATTGACGGTAAACGAGTAGATGAATCACCTAATGGTAATCAATCAGCGTCGCCCATGGACACTTGGAACACCAGAGTCAATGGGCGACGCGTTACAAATGCGTTATCAGCCCTTTGGGATTAGGAATTTGAGTAATATTGGGAATTGGGAATTTAGGAATTGAGGGAGATTTGGGAGAGGAAGGGGTGATCTGGCCTCCCGTAACCTCACTCACACGACAAAACACAACGCGAGCGTTGTTTCACGTTTGTTTTCTGTGAGGTCGTGGTATCAGTCCGGTCGAGCCGGGCTAATCGTGCCAAAACATGGCTCTCCCACACTTCAACAGTTTTTGTCAACCTGATTATAGATTCATCACATCATTCTCTACATATAGGGTGTCCATTAAATAGTCCACCATACTGTGAGGCTGAAGAACCATATATTTTCACTGTACATAGGTATCTTGTATTGTTTAGGTAGGTATTGATCCCAACTTATCACCCGTCACAGTATGGTGCACTATTTACTGAACACCCTGTATATGAGGGTTAATCATCCCTCAGTTTTCTCTTAAGACAACCGCTTGAAGAGCAGCGGTGGTACTAAATACAATTAACTCCGACATCATCAAAAAAAATATTCAAAATGTGTTCTAAATTACCTAATACATGTATTTTCACAGAAGGTCGCCATTGACCATATTAAGCCTTTCGATGCTTTCAGCAGTAATTTACGTGAAACTTTCATATTATGATCGTTAGGAGATTCTGAGTATAAGGGATAATCTGATCTAAACCTTTAATACTAGAGTCTACATTTGAGATTATCAGATTACAGTGTGTTGTTCATAAACAATTAGTGACCAAATTTTAACTAAAGGTTAGCTAGTCAATTTGTAGATTAATGTATTATTTATTCTTGTATTTGAAATTTTGTCTTTTGCCATAATGACATTACCTCTATATCCCTTTAAAATAGAATAATTAGACAGTTTACTAACATTTCAAGGAAGAATGAGTGATTAAATTTCCAAATTCCTCTATGTTGTCAAGAAAGTCTAAAACAATAATGATGTACTGCCGATATTAGAGTTGAATTTCATTAAAAAAAAACTTACCGGCTCGAATATTACGATCAAGGTTATAAATAAAAGAATATACACCATCGACGACAACTCTGTAACACCAATACTTCACACTTTTAGCAACAAATTGATATATCCTCAAAAACGACGAGAGCGCCCTCTACGCAAGGCAATACATCAACGAGTTCAATATAAACGTTTGGTCGTTTTACCGTGAACGTTGTAGCGTTCAAACAGTGTGTGCGCACCACTAGTCGATCCAGTCACTCGTTAACAAAGGGCTGTGCGGTTTGCGAAACAAAAATTTAAAGGTATGTGGTTTTTGAAGCCTGGGATTTTGGTTTTTTACGTACACGGAGGTGGTCAAACGCAGTTTTATATTAGTTGTGTCGTTAGTAACTACAGTAAAGAATTAAGTTAGCTATTATTACTGACAATTAGGACCTATAAACTTTTTGATCAATTATTTTGTTGACAATTCTTAACCTTAACATCAGATGTAGGGTAAAAATGTTGGAACTAATTCTGCTTAATCAAAGACGAAACACCTTGTCGATGACAAGAACATTGGCTTATCAAGATAAAACACAAATTTCACTTGACCAACTTGAACCTAATTACAGCCGTGACATAAAACAAACCAATTAAGATCTTGCATTAATTTGCAACTCACGAAAATCAACAGCAAAATTTTGGCAGTGTGTCAACCCTAACATCGAACTAGGTCGTGGGTAGTTTACTTTTGTGTGACAGCCCTGGAGTGTGTACTGTGTATACAGTGGAGAGGAGGCGTGGGCGATTTCGATCATAGGTACCCTTACGTATGGAGTAAAGGGAAAATATTTGGAGGATTCTGTACTGTGACGTATGTGAGTGGGCTTACGTCATTGGCTGCCTGATTTTGTTTTGGTATTGATAGGATTTGTACACCTGTCAGTGATGCGAATGGGCTTGTTGTGGAATCTTGAACTTTATACGTGGTTTAGTCTTATTTTTATGACTTTTATGTATATTACGTTAGCTTTATGTTATGTGTTCGTATTAACACTACATTCTGCATCACTACATAGTATAAAACAAAGTCGCTATCCGCCGTCTATCTGTCTCTATGTATGCTTAGATCATTAAAACTACGCAACGGATTTTGATGCGGTTTTTTTTTATAGATAGAGGGATTCTTAACATAACATAACATCACGCCTTTTATCCCCGAAGGGGTAGGCAGAGGTGCACATTATACCACTGTATAATGTAACACCCACTTTTCACTATTTATGTTATGAGTCCCATGTAATAGGGGGTGAGCCTATGTGTGAGAGTGATTTTTAAGGAAGGTTTTTACATGCATATTGCACCCGTGCGAAGCCGGGGCGGGTCGCTAGTACCTAATAAACTATTTCCATCACAACTTTCAATACCACGTCACTACAAAGGAACACATTATATATTATGGAACAGGTATTATTAATATAACAGGTATTTCCTGCGTTATAGTCCAAGTTATACACGTGTTAGGAACAACTTTGACATGTTATGCACATGCATAGAAATCAGTTTCCGATCCGACGTCAACACATCTCTTATTCAAGGTTTTCAATATGATATGCATCTGTCTGTATAGGTTTTATGTTTTGTCAGTAGCATTTTGCATTATTAGCTCAATACTAAGCAAAATTTAAAAAAAAATGCATAAATATCTATATAATATTGTCGGAGGCATAGATAAGAAAGAAACATCATCGCGTATTGAGACGTCGTATTTTGTGTTTAGGTAATTTTAATCTAACTGTTTAAAAATCAATTTGCATTTTTATGTTTTTCTGTTTTTCGTTCCAATTAATAGTTATGGTTTAGCTAGTCCTGATTTTGTAATTTGATTTCAATGTTGACAATATAAGTACATTGTAGTGGTTGTACTTTTTAATTTCTCTACCTTTTGAGTTTCTAAAATCCGATGTGGTTAAAACTAATAAAATTCTAATATCAAAACTAATCAAAAGTAAGGTAAACTCTTTTTATAATAACTATCGTGAGACATACTAAATTAATTACAATCGCGGGTTACTCGCGTGAATCTACGGAGAAAAGCTCTACTAGTTTCGAATCACAGTGGGGTTCTTCCTCATGAGCAGCGCGGTCGCGGCCGGAGGTGGAAGCAAAGGCTCGTGGTGTCCGGCAGAGGGCGCATTGGGCTAGATGCGCAAGTAGCAACACCGATGCGAGCGCCAACGCTAGCCAGTAGGCTGCGCGACATCGCCGCGACCGCGCTCGCTGCTCATAAGGAAAAACCCCTCTGTGGTTTGAAACTAGTAGAACTTTTCTCAGTATATTTAATTGAGTAACCCGCGATTTTTAGTTAATTAAGGTAAAATCTATGATGTTATATAAGTTTTCTAATAATATATTATCACTAGCTTCTACCCGCGACTTCGTACGCGTAATCCCATTTTTTCCCGTCCCCGTTCGTGATTTTCGGTAAAAAGTAAAAAAAAATGTTTGTTAAAAAGTATTCTATGTCGGTCTCCTGGCTCTAAGCTACCTCCCTACCAATTTTCAGCCAAATCTATTCTGCCATTCTTGAGTTATAAGTGGTGTAACTAACACGATAACTTTCTTTTATATATATATAGATTTGGCAGTTGTCAATGTAATCACCGCACCTACCTACAAAACGACCATTAATATATATTCAATACAATTAATAGATCTACATCTTACAAGATAAAACTACAATAAGAACACATTTCAACAACAATTCCTATTCAGTAGCTTCCTGAAACTTAAACCTTAAGTTAAAATTAAGTTACCACAAACTTTCGAGCAATATTAAATGAAATTGGAGGCTTCATGCCTGAAAACTTAGGGAACATGTTACTGAATCCTGTAATATTTTATCAGTTAGTTGGAGTTACTGAAACAAGACTTTTCCGGCGCTTTAAGTTACTTGTAAAACTTGATGAGATTGGCTGAATATGTAACAGATTTAGTGTTACATTGTTCTCGCACAATCCAAACAGCAAAACCATGTAACTAGTAAATTGTATTGTGAACCTGATTGAAAAAGAGTAACCTATGAAGTTTCTTGCTCGTTCTTCTCCATAGGAATATACGCGTTGGAATGAGCAAATAGCTTCACTTTAAATTTTTGTTTTTGTTGACGTTCAAAAGTGCCATTCTGGCCTAATTGAAATAAATGATTTTGACTTTGACTTTGACTTTGATTGTTTAGGCGAATGTTTTACTTTTACTTTTTATGAGATTTTCAGATTACTTATTACTATAATGATAAAAGTGTCTGCTTAGAAGAATTGCAATTGCGGTTATCGAAGTTCGATTTTTATCTTACTGCCTGCCTCGTTGGCCGAGTGGTCGCAAGTGCGACTGCCGAGCAAGGGGTAGGTCAAAGTGGGCAAAGTAATACTAGGTTTTAAAAAAAATCTCAATAGTAGCACGGAGTCTGAAATTATGCCCGGTATATGGCAATAGGCTAACCACCTATATGGGACTCATAACATAAATAGTGTTAAGAGGGTGATACATTGTAGTAGCATAATGTGCACCTCTGCCTACCACTTCGGGGACAAAAAGCGTGATGTTATGTTAGTTATGTTATGTTTTATGTTACTCAGATTTTTCGGTTTTTCCAAAATCAATAAGAAAACTATTTCCCTCTCCTAGTTTCACACAGAAAAATTAGTGACGAATAGTATGTGTATAACAAACCTCATTGGTTTGAAGATTTCAGTGTTTATTCTAAACAAATTCTCTTTCACAGCATGTGGTCCCTGTGGCGCGCTTGGAGCGTGTTGGCGTGCGCTTGCGCAGTGGCGGCGCAGCGTATAGATCAGGACGCCATCATGTCGCCGCGTCCGGCCCGTCTGCGGGATATGCGGCAAGACACCAAGACCGACGAACCGACTTGCGATCAACTTAAGGCTATGTGGAGGTAAGCAGGGGATATAGTCTTTAAAAGATTTTTTACTAATAAAAGAAGTTTCTTTTGATTGATAAAATCACTCAATTTATTGTCCTTTGAGAAGTTATTGATGAAGAAAACTGCTATCAATCAAGAAAGAAGGTGATCACTTTCATCGTGGTATTGTGGAGATTTTTTTAAACTAACCAAAACCACAAATGTGGGAAATCAAGCCAGTCTTACTGGCCAGTCACGTTGTGACCTTCACAATCGGTAGAAAACTCAATGAATATGCAAATATATATAAAAAGAATACAAGCATATATATTGTATACCTTTTAAGCGACCTTTACGCAAATATTAGCAGCAAACATTTTTCCAACATGGCAACCCCTACGCAGAAACTCAAAGAACAAACATAAAAGAATATCACAGTATCACAAATATTTGTGGCAACTCCACTCGATGTCCAAAACGATACTCGGAATTTCGGAAGGTCCAAACTTCGGCATGCCCTCAATAGGCCACCGGAATGCCGATAAAATATTATTTTGCTCCCATTTACATAATTGCCATTTCTCCCCGAGAATTCAGAATGATATCGGGTCTTACGTCAGATCGAAGATAAATTGACACGTCTAACCTGCACGTCAAACTATACTCGACTGTTATTGATTTGAAACTTTATATCTTCGTAGATAAAGTCAAAATTTACTTGAACAGTTTTGTTTTGATACGTCCTGCTTGATCGGCAAGCTATTAACTGTCAATTATTCTTTAATTAAATTGCAACTTCATAGTTTGGACGATAAAGTTAAAAGTCGATTGAAATTATTAGACAGTTTGGGGTACTTTTATGTGCCCTTGTTTGATTTTAATAGTAATTGGTTTGGAGTACTTTAATAAGCTAGGTTATTGGATAGTGAATGGCCAATATTAAATGTCTGGTAGATTTAGAACGATATTATCTATATGAGTTTGGGATAATTTTGTAATAGTAATGTTGAACCATGTGGAGTATATGTTACTGTTGGATTATCTGCATTACTAGCTGTTTCCCGCGACTTCGTCCGTATAGAATAATGACTTCTGGCAGAATTCATCAGAATCGATTCAGTGCCTGAGTGAGATTTATAGTGAAATGAATTTATCGAGATTTCAGGTTTAAGTTCAGTGATTATGAGATAGATTCCCGGGGCTTTAATGCATAGTAGCCCGTTAGCGTAGGGCTCCTGAAATAATAACTATCGTATATTATTTCCCATGTATCAAACTATCGTTTTACCAAATTTTACTCAAAAAGATCCAATGATTCCAGATTTAATGACTAAGAAGATTTATACAAACTCTCATTCCCTATTTTATCCCCTTAAGAGTGGAATTTATCAAAGTCCTTTCTTAGGAAATGCCTACGTCATAGTAACGTTTTGCATGTAAAATCATAACCCACTTTGTTGCTTCGCCGTAGGCGGGTAAAATATTTGTTAATAAATCGAACTAAAACTCTTAAGTAATACACATAAGCAGCATTCCAATATGGAATTCCAGCCAAAAATAAAAAGGTACTCAGCTTAGTTCAAGTCAAAATATTTTAATGCGAAATTCTTCTGAAAAACTTTTCTGACTCCAATCGTCAGAAAAGTTTTAAATGAGAAAATAACTTCACGTTCGGACATTAATTTATTATGTATTTTGACGTTTAGGAAAATATCGGCAAATATTTTTAAGTTAGATTTCCTCTCGAACTTACTTTCACTCCGGATTATTAAACAATGACTCGGTATAGTACATAATAATATGGTACCTTCCTTCCACATAGAATCCAAAAAAAAAAACCATGAACTACAATACTTTACTGTTTCAGGAATTAAGTGCCATCTAGTGGGCAGTCATTAAAACACAAAGGCTACAGGAGCATTATAAAACTTCTTAACTATCATTTTAATTCAAACTAGCTTGTGCCCGCGACTTCGTATGCGCAATCCCTGTTTCTCCTGTTCCCGTAGGAATTACTGGTTTTTTTCTGTCATAAGAACCTTCTCCTGATTATAACAAACGCAACAAAAAAAATCAGCCAAATCGGTCTAGCTGTTCCCAAGTTATGGCGTGACAACGGGAAACTGGTTTCATTTTTATATATATTTATATAGATTGGTTACAATTCACTTCTGTTAGGGTTAAAAATGTCACATTTTGATTACAAAACGATTGTTTTACAATAGATCACCAATTGGAAAAGTGCCCAAGAATAGCTCTACCAATGGAGACCCACTATTCTGTCGATAACGGTCGTCGAGTGCTTTAAAATGCACTTCTTCATCGAAAATCGTGTCATTTTCAATATTCCAATCTTTTGTGCGATTTTTCTAACCTTTGTTATCGATATTTGCGTCTGACTATATAACTAGAAATCTTATCTCTTACCTCTTAACCGCAGAACATATAAAGAAAGTCTGAAGCTGAAATACTCAAACGCAACTCATTTTGTCACGCTTTACTAACGAATAACTACTAACGGTAATGGCCACGACAGTATATACACGTATAGAATTTTGTTCATTGTCCTTAACACGTTAACCGCCGTGTAGGTCACCGGTGACCTACGTTAGCGGAGGATTTGTCATCAGCAGTTTTCAGTCGACATTCAAAGGCTTAATTTTAATATTTACAACTATAGTTCTGTCAATACAAAATTCTTTGTAAAACGACAGAGATGGCACGATATTTAAGCACAACTATAAATTGAGTAGCTTCCATTCCATCATTTATTTATTTAAAAGTGAAGTCGCACACAACGGTTAAAAACAACTAATTACAGTAACTGGACACACTTATAAAAAAATAATAAACTATGAAATAATAAAACTAAAACAAAACATAAGCACAACGAAAAAGAAAAGGTAAACTTATTAAGGTAATCTCTTGTCTGTCGATATAATTAATATGAGACACAATAGAAAATGCATTGCGTCTCGCATAGATTTAGGTACGTTTCGACGTACCAGAGGTTAAAACAGGTAGCATTCATCAATTCCACAATACTTCAGGCATTCCGAAAATCTTCCATCTACTTGCAAACAGATCACTAGTTGGATTAGAACTGAATCAATGAATAATTCGGTCAAGCAATATTGAAAACAACCAAGTCATGTCAGATACGAAATATATTTTTTAAAACCCCATCCAATCTCATGAAGCTCACGTCTTATCTACTTAAATATTTTGACAGGTACCCTAAACAACCCAGAGAAAGAAAACAAAAATATTATAACAACAAAATTTTCATATACCCTCGAAAAATATTAAAATGCTATCCTTTGCGGGTAGTTACACAAAGTGCCGGCTGTCTGTCAAACGGGCTATCTGTCAGATCCACGTCGACCGTCCCACGCAGCGGTCGCCTCAGAGACACGCATCATGCATTTAAATAATATTAATCACATTTTCCTATGAGGATGGGCGTCGGGTACCTGTGTCTTCAACCCTTGTATAATTAAATCAGACTTACCCCTGAGATGTTTGGGAAAATTTACATGTTATGGGAAAGTTTTGAGTGCTACCACGGTCCTCTATGCTTTGTGGGTGCTTAAGTTTGTATAATACTCAAGTAACTACCTATAAGTATGAGAGCATTATTGGGTGTTCTCTTTTTTTCTTTTTTTTTTTAATGTTTTTTTTTTTAAAAAAAACGTTGCCCCATACTAAGCCTCTAAGGTGATAATATTTTCGAGGTGGCGCTCCACAAGTCCGAGGCCATGTGTTTTCATGGCCGCGGGAACGCGCCACCTCCGGGTGGGTCCCAAATAACGGCGGGAGGGGTTACCATCGGCGTCGAGACGGCGATGAAGTACCTAGGACTCGTCCTCGACAGTCGGTGGAACTTCATAGAGCATTTCCGACGTTTGGCTCCCAAGTTGGAGAGGACGGGGGCTGCGTTCAAACGCATCCTCCCCAACCTCGGGGGGCCAAACGCCTCCTGCCGGAGGTTATACGCCGGGGTCGTGCGGTCCATGGCCCTCTACGGCGCCCCTGTTTGGGCGCCGAACTTGTTGCGGCGTCCTGCTCGGACGCTGCTCATGTCACAGAGGGTCATGGCGATCCGAATGATCCGCGGATACCGCACGATCTCTGGGGAGTCGGCGAACCTCCTTGCCGGATTACCGCCGTGGGATCTGGAGGCGAAGGTGCTCGCGCGCGTGTATAACATGCGCGGGGAGGCACGTCGCCGGGGCGAAACTCCGCTGCCGCGCCAGATAAGTGCGTGGCGGGATGAGCTCCGGCGCGATCTCATGGCGGAATGGCAGCAACGACTGTCGCAACCGAGGGCTGGGCTCGCTGCCATTGCAGCGGTAAGTCCCCTCTTTGAGGAGTGGCTTGAGAGACGCTACGGCGTCCTCACCTACCGCCTGACGCAGGTCCTCACCGGACATGGAAGTTTCGGGAGGTACCTGTGTCTGATGGGGCGGGAGGAAACGCCCGGGTGTCATCACTGCGAGGGCCGCCCTGAGGACACGGTGGAACACACTGTGGGAGAATGCCCTGCGTGGGCTGAGCACCGCCGTGCCCTCAGGGAAGTGATCGGCGATGGCGACCTCTCGCGTCCGGGCCTAGTGCAGGCCATGATGCGGAGCGAGGGGGACTGGGATGCCGTCTCCTCCTTTTGCGAAGCAGTCATGCTAGCTAAGGAGGAGGCGGGACGCGTGAGGCAGCGAAGCGCTGCCTCCTCGCAACCCGGCCATCGCGAAGGACACACCGGGCGTCGGGGATCGCGGGACGATCTCCGGCCACCGTAAGCGCGGGCCTGCGGACGGCGAGCATGGGTGGCTCCCCGTCCGACCAGAAACAGACCCGAGCGTACGGCGCGTCGCGTTCCGCGCGCGCCTCAAAGAGCCATCAGACCACCACAGATGGGGCCCAATAGGGCCGATGCCGATTCGGAGTCGCGGAGAACCTAACGGGTAACCGGGGCTCCGGCTCGACGTGCAGGAGTAGGAACGGGGTGGTTTTTAGTCAGTAAGAGTCTGACACTC